GGGTGTTTAGTGTAAACAACCTGAAAGGGCGAGTGAGCAGTAGACCTGTTAGGGGTGGCGTTATAGGCGAACTCGGCCTGGCTTAATTTCTCTTCCCATTTCCTCGGATTGTCTTGCACTAAACACCTCAACATACTACCGAGAGTCCTGTTGACGACCTCGGTTTGCCCGTCCGTCTGGGGGTGATACGCCGAACTGAGTTTGATGTCTGTGCCGAGCCTCTTCCACAGTTCCCTCCAAAAGTGACTTACAAATTTGACATCTCGGTCGGACGTGAGGCTACGAGGAATTCCGTGTAAACGAACAATTTCCTTGAAAAATAGTTGAGCAATGTTCACAGCGTCGAATGTCTTCTTGCAAGGCACAAAGTGTGCCATCTTGGAGAAACGGTCGACCACCACCAACCCACATTAATACCAGATCAAGGACCCCTCTATGGTATTGGTACCAGAAAAGCGAAATCGACCCACAGTGAACAGATTTAACCCAAATGGGAATAAAAATAATAACGGTAATCTGGATAAAAGCTGCAAATAGCAATCAAGTATTTTGTGCAGACCCCTTAAACCGATTGAATATGAGCATTTCTCAGGCACAAATCGGCGGCGACATTCCCCGCCCGCAAATGAGGGCCAAAAAGAATCGGGACTCATTTCGCTGCATTAACTCAATGGTTTCTGTCTCGTCGCGTACAAGAGCAGATAAGCCCCCGGCCATGAATTTGTTTACATGGATAAGGGCGGCAGGGAGAATTAAGCTATTCCCCTTGAACAGAAATCCCTGTTGTAGAGTGAAATCTTGTTTTGGCTGGCCCATTCTGCAAGCCGACCAAATGTTTGCAAAATCCTTATCTTCCTCATAAAAGTCTTGAAGGGCTTGTAATCCCGTCAAATCGGTTTGTAGGCGGATGAGTAAGGCCTGCCGTCTGCTCAACGCATCTGCCACCCTATTGACTTTTCCGGCCTTGTGCTTGATAACAAAACTAAATCGTTGGAAGAAGACAATCCAACGCGCGTGCATTCGATTGATGTTTTTCTGATTATTGATGTATTGCAGTGCCTGATTGTCACTACACAATACGAAGTCGCGATGCAGTAAGTAGTGCTCCCATTGTTTGAGGGCGCGAACTACGGCATAGAGTTCTTGCTCATACGCCGACCATTTTTGGCGAGGTAGGCTCAATTTCTCGCTGAAGTATTCTACAGGGCGCCCATCCTGAGATAAAACAGCCCCAATGCCCACCAGAGGCGTCCGGTGTACTACGTTGAAGGCGTTATTCAAAAGTAGGGAATTGCAAGCAGGGAGCGGAGCTAAGAGCGGCCTATGCGATCAGGAAAGCTCTGTTTGGGTGACTCTCGTCCCCAGACAAAGCTGAGAGATCTTTAAGCATGTTATGTATGGGCTGGTAATGCCCGCTGAAATTATCCGGATGAGACGGCCAGATAGTAATTAGGCCAGACCATGGAAACTCCTCACTTTCAGATCAAAGACGTGGTTGCCGGCCAATTACTGGATCGCTACTATCATCGGCGGAGTGCCAGTGTGGACGCCCTCGGCGAGAGGAGCAATACCTCGCGCAAACACACTGAAAACATGAGTGACGGCAGAGACTCAGACATTATGTTAAGGGTTAGTACGGCAGCTTATTTAGCGGAGTTGCGTCGATGGATGCTTCTCAAAATGATTCAAATATCTGGCAAGAGAGAAGACTAAATCGAGTATATCATCAAAATAACGACGCAAACTATCTATGGTATGGCTTGAGACGCGTGGCATTGAGAGGCATAAAAGTCGCGGCGCATGCATCGTCCAAACGGCATCACCTTCCATTCAAAGAGACCATCGACCGTCTCTGAATGGCGGCTTCCACTCGTCTCACCGACGCTGAGATGCTGATATAGGCAATTTGATGATACCCACTCCTTAGGCCATATTGGAAAAGATTGAGCAAGCCGCCGACATTCGTTGTCTTCAGCCGCAAGATCATTAGCACCCGCGGAATTGGGAAGCTATATTTGGACACTGAATGATCCGATTAAATTGGCATCGTAAATCTGCGTCGAATAGATAGCCGCCACTGTCGCTCTTTTTTCGGAACAATCAAACGCCGGAGCGGACCGGGCGCAGCGGACTAGTAAACTAGGGCTGAATGAATTTTTTTGTATGCAGATCTGCCTGTATTTCGTGTCCGTGTATAATAGAGTTGCTTGGACTCGATCCTGTAGTTGGATGGAAGATTGGGGTATGACGCGTCCAACTCGGAAATTAAGTTCCAGGGTGCTGATGCCATGTAGTAAGTCGTAGGCGGCGAAGGCAACAGGACAATTCTCCACTGGCAGGTATCTCGGGATACTTCCTTAAGAAATCTTGAACTTGAGCATTAAGGATAGAATGCTCACTCTATCATCTGGGCACTCCACTAGTACCGCGGTAATATTATGGGGCTGGCAGGTCCCGATCCTTACATAAAAGCATGCCGCCAAAATCAATCTTGCTGCAGACATCGCCAGACGGAGATTTGACGGTTGAGCCCCATGGGTACTCAAATTTAACCGTTTTTTGCTTGCCACTCAACTGGTGTAAGTGTTGGCTCGTGCCGATCGGTAGGCAGCATCCACTGTCAAATTGCCAAGGTCTGCCGAGATATTATATGGCAAACGCCATGTCATTAGACATCACAAGTGACGTCGCATCAGGTAACATCTTGCGCAATGGAGAGACGCTATTGGGCAAGCTCGTGTAGCCATCGAATTTATCCATAATTTTTTTCCTTTTTAACCCAGTACGACGATGCTAAACAGGGTTAGGGATTTTTATTTGTTATTAATGCTGGGAGTCTCTGCACGGCTGGCTCGTGATATGATAATTCTCCGATTAGCATCTCCACTGTCGATTACAATCACATAACCTTTGCGGTTAATTGCACTGGATCGGACACAAGTCTATGACGTGATTGGTTCGAATCGTTTTCTAGGGGCAGATTAATAATTCTCCAGTACGCAAGCAGTGGCTCCCCCTCATTACTGCGGCAAGTTCTCTAATAGTTTCTTTCTTCTCCTCGCAATTTCTTGTTCCGCCTTGATCAGTTTTCCTCCGAACCTTTAAGGCACACTCGTGCTTGATTGGCGGGTGGGGGCAATCTCATTGGACTTATGTCCCGGCTGTAGACATCTAAAACACTTAATACTGCTCGGCTTTGCATACGGATTTTCCCGGACCCCAGAAACTTTGGCCCGAGGGTTACTCTTGTCTTCACTCACGGGATTGAGCACCGGAACTGGACTGTTTGGCGAACTTTTAGTCGTTTGGCCTCCAGGTTTACTAGAGTTAGACCAGTTTTCATTAGACAATCTGCGGCTTGTCGAAGTCCTGTAAGACCTTTGCATTTGAGCTTCCGCCTTTAGAGCAAAATTTACCGCTTGGGATAATGTCCACACAGAATTTAGTTCTAGCCGATCTTGGATTGACTCTTTCAGACCTCCAGTATATCTGGCAACTAATTGATTTTCAGATTCGGCAAGATTATTTCGTGCACTCAGCCTATAGAACTGTTCAGTATATTCGCTAACTGAACGTTGACCTTGCCGGCA